ATCATCATCATCATTATTATTATTATTATTATTATTATTATTATTATTATTAGTATGTCGTTATTATTGTACATACCAAATTATAAATTTTTTTGTTCGATATGTTAATTGTGGAATTTACGAGTTTATGCTAGTTTATTAATGTCGATGGTAAAGTACGGAATATAAATTGTTACGAAGTAACGTAGCAATCATTTCCAGTAGTATTATTGCTCAAGCAATAAAAAAAAAATGTATGTTATAAATAAGACATCGTTCGTTTCATAATACAAAGTTTGAGTGTATTCGATTGGATTTTCCTTTCCGCCTCATTAGTCATGGAATCCACAAGAAACAATAGACAATTGTAAAGGGTATCTTTAAGACGAATCTAATTTTCTTTTTTCCAATCTCTCAAATCACTTTACATTCCTTTCTTACATAGCCTCTTACATAGCCAAGGATTCGTCGTGTAAGTATGTAACTGATTCGGGTCCAGTGAGTTAAATGTACCATCGACCCTCGAGGACATCTCAAGCCGAGAATAATCTAGTCTCTTGGTTTTACGAGGCCCTTTGAACATATAAAATCCTATGTGTCTTTCCAAGTTGAGCGAGGGTGGAGGTGGGCAAAGGGTGATGTTGTTTGTCGCGAAAAGAAAATGGAACTACCAGGGTTCGATGGGCCGTGTCCTACCCAACACGGGCCGCCGGCATTTTTGATTACTCCCTTCCATCCCGCTATCGAGGGCGCGATGCCGAGGGGAAGGGAATGACTTGTAATGGAAGGACGTCGCAGCCCGATTGATCCTTTCAGGCTCCCGCAGGGACAAGACATTAAGTCCCTTTGAGTTTCTTTTTCTGGTCCATCTCGCTCTTGACGATTCTTCAAAGATACGTGTTTTATATTTACAATTACATTGTAGATTTAGATAAAATCAAATACGTTTATAATGATCCTTTTATTTTTACTCTATGCCACTCAATGTGTATTGTCGTATGTAATATTTATTAATTTAACTGATAATAATTGTGCGTACAAAACGATTTCGTGCTGTTAATTATAACTTTTAAATCGCTGTGAAAATTTCGACTATTAATTTAATTAAGAGTTTAAAAAGACTAATTGAGCACAAATTGATGATCGCAACACTTAAAGGGCACATTTACAGCAAATCTGTCCTTCCAATCTTACATTATAATGCCTCTTGTGACCCGTATTCAACAGGTTTGTAAACCGATAGACGTTAATAGCTCGAGGTTAAAAGGTACAAGTTTAATTGCGTCAATGGTATAAGTGAAATAATACGTACTCTTGTCATAATACGTAGACGTATAAACAATCGAAAATTTCAAATGTGAATTAAAAATAGATGTCTATTAATATTTTGTATTAATGTATTATATTTACATATCTTATTCGCATATCATAAAGAAGATTTGTAGTTGAAAGGGTTGGAAAAAAAAAATTATACAGCATTGCCCATTTCAAATTATCATTGATATTTCAACATCGAGTATGTTGCTCTTGTAAAACTAGAAATATACGTTAATGTGATTTTATAAATATTGCTGATTTTTCTTACGTAAATTGTAATACATAGTAATTAACAGTAATGAATGAAATTCTCGTCAATGTTAAAACATTTATCAATTGCCTTGCACATTTAAATTGAAGGCTCACTTTACTGTATCGCACATTAACCTTAATTGCTAAGTCAGTATCTCTTTAATTAATAACAGTATTTCTACATAATCTTAGCTAGAAATCTTACGTACATGTTTTTAATTGTTTGAGAATTTATTTGTTTCTAATTTATAAGGTAAAATTTCACCTCCCTTACATTTTATCCACTTTTTGCATGATAGAGGTATTTATTTTAATGCTCGTGTTATTGGTGATGATCGGTTATCAAATGCACGAGTTTACGAGACTTCAGGCTTCTTTCGAGCCAATTATCGCCAAATAATTTACTTTCCATCTCTTTTAAAGCTTTAAAAGAAAATAGTGGCAATTCACGTATGATTAAAGTACTTAGTTGGTAGAAAACTTCAATTTTTTACAATAATAACCGCTACAATGAACAATACAAAACGACGAAAATCGAGGATTTTGAAAAGGAATCTGAATGGGGACAGAGAGAAGAAAGGAGGATTCCGTGTGGACGGAGGGTGTGCGTGCGAAAGAGTCTTGCGGTTGGGTGTTGAATTATTGAAAGCGAGCGGGAGATAGAAGGGGTTGAGCGACATCGCGTCGTCGCAATTAAAGGAAATAATTACAGCGGCCCACTTTCGTGGGTGGGGGGAACAGGGGAAACGAGAGTGGGAGAGAGAGAGAGAGAGAGAGAGAGAGAGTGAGAGGACGAGGGGTCAGCTTTCGTAGGTTCGAGAAACAGGCGTTGTTGGACGAGTGACCTGCTGCCGGCAATTGAGTGGATGAAACCCCTCGTCTTTGCTTTTCTTGTCCCTCGTCACTTGGGGTGGAGTCAGAAGTGCGCAAAGGGTGGGGATTGCGTGCTTAAACCCGTAGGCCAATTTACGTAATCGTACACTCCTCTCTTTGTCTCTGTCTTTGTTTTTCTCGCTCGCTCTCTCTCCCTCTCTCTCTCTCTCTCTCTCTCTCTCTCTCTCTCTCTCTCTCTCTATCCCATTCTTCTCCCTTCCTCCCGCCCTCTCAGCCACCATCGATCCCTCTCTCTTCCTCGTTTTACTTACATCCCATCGTCTACTCTCTTTCAACTATACTCTTATTACCTGACACGGGCTTGTCTGTGGGTGTGTGCGAGCGGGTCGAGCGAGGGGACGAGGATTGTCGAGGTTTTTTTGAAACAAGCGAGTGGCACGCGTGTCATGCCGCATGGATAACGCATGGAAGAAGGAGCTTCTATTGCGCTCTTGGCTTTCTTTCTCCTTTCTTTTTTCTTCAATCTAGTTGCTGCCTCGCTACTACTTCCGCCCGCAGTCTTTGAGGAATTTGTTCCTCTGGCATGAAACGTTTCATTGTATTGCTTCTTGCGCGAGGCTAAAGGGTGGAAGGAGGGCATCTTATAACCTTTTTTTTTGTTTTTTTTTTTTTATTTTTTTGAGATTTTTATGTGACATACGTACAATGGTAGTTTTCTGTAAAAGACTACGATTATTATTATTATTATTATTATTATTGTTGTTGTTGTTATTATCATATACACTTAGAGTTCTTACAGTGCGCTTAAAATTGCATTTACTAATGTTAGTATTATTATTCTTATTATTAACGTCGGTTTATCGATCAATATTTTTTATTTATATTTTCATTCGAGTGTAACATACATTTGCTTTTTGTTCTCGTGTCTCCTGTGATGACGTAATATCGAACGAATGGCTTCATGGAAGGTTGTATTGTAAGTCAAACTGAAGTATCGTTTGGTGCTTTCACGCTGAATCACATGGGGTTCGAGTCAGGGTTGAAGTTTTCTGCCCTATAAATGCTTGAAACGAATACCCTAATTTAATTGTTTATTACAGTAAAGTTAATTATAACTTTTTATCCTATTTATGTATTTTTTTGTTTTTTCCACTACGACTACTGCCATTACTCTTCATTCGAACTATTGTAAATGGCATATTGATTTTCTTAAAGGCAGTGCTTATCGTATTACTAAGGATTATTATTTTCTTTACTAAATATATACTTGGTTATACTTCAACTTTACATTTGAAATTATGCATTTAGAGTTAATGGAAGACAACAAACAGTTTCATGAAGAATCGCGCAAATAATGCAGGTAAAGTATAAATATATTCAAATGGCGCAATATAACTAAAAATTACCTATTTATTTCTATAGATTCTTAAGCTTTTCGCGTTAATTAAGTTAATTAAGCAGAAATAGAATCTGTTTAAATATTTCAGCAAGGAACTTATAAGAAATTAATAGCCGAGTAAAGATAAGTACTAAGATCATTTAAGGGCGCTGTTTAATATAATAGAAAAGTAAGTATATATGGATTTGAGAGAGCACAAAAATAACTACTAAATATCAAAAATATAAATTTTCTCATCGACACATCTACTCTAATCTTTTCGTAAATATAGAAACGGTCGGGCCTAATTTTAATATATAAATATATTATTACCTCGAATGTCGACGTTATCCACTTTAAAAATCTTTTACTGTGCCGAAGGAGCTGTGAATAAATACGTTGCTACGCTTTCCTCAATTAACGACACATCGACTTAACTCGGTTGTCCACAACTAACGCGACATAAGCAGATTTCAAATTGATAAATTTTAATGATTACTTTGTTCACGGTGTTATTTTCATTTTAATATGTTATAGATTAATATTTATTTATTATAATCGCCTCGACCCTTGGGCAATAATTTTAATATTTTTTGTTTCCGAGAGTAATTATTTATCCTGACAATGGGATTAAATTCGACTGCGGTAGTTAACTGGAATAATTTACATGGAAATCCGGTTGCAAACATTTGTTTATTTATCTATCATTGTCCATCAAAAACAATACAAAACACTTCGTATATATATATATATATATATATATATATATATACAGTACTGTATTGTATTGTTTTTATCCGTTAATACACAAAAGCCGGCATTGATACTTGCTGCAATTGTTAAGTATAAAAGTTTTGTAAAATGATAATAGTCGCGCTAAGCATATCTCGTACGAGTTTGCATCAATATTACGAGTTTCCTTTTACCTTCATTTCTTAACAAACGTTCCGTCCGTATATTCATCAGAGCCGTCTCTAACGTTTTAGCGACATCCTTCAACTTCGCCGGCCACCCAACTTCCCATCCTTCCCCTACAACATGCGTTTATAGCCAACGGCGTGCGTTTCGAGCGTGAATTCAATGGGAAAGCGACTCGTCCAGGCAGTTCTGGGAAGCGTCAAAGAGTTCGCCACCTACCGCCGGGACGCGTGCCATCTGGCCTTTTTTGCGGGCGTGACAGAAATGACAACCCAGGCTCTTCCCATTGCAGACGCTGAGAAAGATGATGTTGGCCATGGGGCGGAGGCTGAAGGCCATCGAGTGCTTCCTCCGAAGGTGGGTCTCCAGTCGGCCGGACCCCGAGCTGACGGCCCTCCGTTATAACGTCAAACGGGGCTCTTACGCCGTGCCCAACGATACTCACGTGGCCTTCTTCGAGAAGCTTCTCGGACCCGGAGGCGTGATTACCGATTCCCAAGAGTGCGATGCCTACAACGTCGACTGGCTCAAGATCGTCAAAGGTTAGCTTTCGACGGACCCGCTGGATCAATTAGGTCGAGTGCTTCCCACTTCATTGCATATCGATACTTTAAGGCTCACGACGAGCTGGTGAACGTCCCGATACAGCCGCTTCGTCGTCATTGTCATTCTTCTTTCGTGGTTTGGTACACACTTTTAAGAATAGCTAAACTTACCTTGTCATTCTTCCTTCGTCACGTCATTTAACGAGCAATTTTGCAAATCCAATTCGTGCCCCACGAATTTCAGAAAATCAATGGCAAATGTTTCTACATGCGGCGTAAGTATTAAGCAACAGTGATAAACATATCGAGCAACATCGAGTAAAACTAATTAAACGTAAAAAAATTAAATTTTGTTCCCGATGCTCGGTTGGTAATGTAGATGCGAAATATTTCTATTCAGGTATTCGGACTCCACGCCGTATCTTATTGATCTTATTCTCCGAACTAATTAAAATAAAAAGGTGCCCTTCGATTTATGTCTATTTCAAATTGACTTTATAATTAATTAAAATACAAGCTCAAATTCGTTATTGCTGAGCGTCACAAAATAACCCTCGATAATTTGCAACTTTTAAAATTCAAATTTTGGTACAGATTTACTAAAGAAACCAAGATTTATCGACAGTCAAACCTGGCAGAGCATATTTTATGACCTCTTTGCTTACAAGCATTTTATAATTTCATTTCATTTTTATAAACGTTTTTATAAATGCTTTGTTTACCAGCAGAGACGAAGGAAAAGTAATTTTTGTACACGAGTGTCGGGGTAAGGTGTATATGAACATTCACAGGCCAATTTTAGCTGTTAATACGTTTAACTTAGAAAAAAGCTTAGAAAAAAAGGTGATGTTCTTATATTGAAATAAATGTATATTAATAGAAATTATATCCCCGTTCATTCATCTTGAATTAATTCTTTAAAACGCGAAATCAATGGTCAGTATAAAATTAAAAAGATAATTGAAAAGCTGAATTTTTATTTATCGTTTGCGTATAGTTTCATTAAAAAAAAAAAAAAAAAAAAAAAAAAAAAAAAAAAAAAAAAAAAAAAAATTTCCAAAACTCTATGTTATAAAAATAAAATCACTAATACGTTATTAGTGATTGTTAAAGTAACGCATAGAGACTCACAATTTTTAATTTTCATTCACCATAACCACTGGTATACAAGAGTATCTTGTAAATGCATTTATACGATGCTTAACAATTCAATAAAAGAATTTTTCAATACGAAAAAAAAAAGCAAAACTAACTCGCAGATTTCTTCGAAAAGAATAGATAAAAATGTGGTTTCATAAATAAAAGAAAAAGGTCCCTGCGACCTGGCCAAGATAACTATATGAACTTCTTGTATGCTGAACCCAGCTCACGAGCAACCATATTTTATCGTGCTAGTTTTATAACAAAAGAAGATGAAAAGAAGGTGCCCTAGATATTTCGGACGTCCCACATTTGAATTTAGATAATTAATACGAGATAGGATAGACGTTGTATTATTCATTCAAATAAAGTAGCAGCGAATTGAAATCGTACGATTGTCTTTTTTAACAATGTAAGCTTACGTTTTAGTATGGGAGGACTTGTTTAAATTTTTTAAGCTGTAGGTCCTATCTCCGGCTCGTTAATCTCGAATCTCTCTGACCCAATGTGGGACGTCTTTATTTATCAATTTGCACGCGACGACCGTGAAGGATACGTACATCCGTGCTCCATGTAAAAGACCCACCGAATAAACACACCCATAGTCCTCCTACAAACAAACGCGCCTACCGTTTACAAAACACGCACATCACTAGCCAATTGGCTCTAAAAGTGTTTAGGGAAGAGCTCCGCTTTACCAGCCGAGCGTCACCAGAGTGCGAACGACCGGACAACGATTGGAAAAGAAAGTACGGCAAGCGTCGTCAATTCCCTTCGTACGAAATGTCGGACGAAAAAAAAAAAATAAATAAATGGAATTGGGGCCCAGTTTCGCGCAGCAGTCAAGCTCAAAAGGCCACGCGCTTCGAAATATTCACTGGAACGTAGTGACGGATGAGCGATTGTTTCATCGGTTGGCCCTCGGTGTATACCTGCGTACCAGGAACGACGATCGGTCGAACGAATTCCTCGGCCCGGAGTCGCCACAGATAAATTGAGACGCGCTTAGGCGCCACGCGCTGTTGTTCCCAGGAGGGCCTCCTCTGATGTATGACGACGATCGACGGTATCTGAACCCTCCTCCGCCCCCTGACCACCACCCAATCGCTACTTGGCGCTCTCGTCCCATCTCTCGCTATAATTCGCTATTTGCCCGCAGGATCGAGTCGACTCGTGCTGAGGCCGAGGAGCACCGAGGAGGTCTCCGCTGTACTTCGGTATTGCGACGAACGGAGGCTCGCCCTCTGTCCCCAGAGTGGCAATACCAGCCTCGTGGGCGGCAGCGTGCCCGTCTTCGACGAGATAGTCCTTTCGATGCGCCTCATGGATCGGATCATACACACGGACGAGCTTGCCGGTGAGTCGCGCTCGGGACACGGACCCTCGACCCATTGCCCCAACCCTCGCCGAGGGGCTACGTACTGCTTGCCAATGCATCTTCAGGCGCCTCTACCGAGTATCGATAAAGGGTTGTCTTTAATTAATGGATGGTCGCGAGTGAATTTCAGATGGAGTTGCGTGGGTCGCTGTAGCCCCGGACGAGGAAAGAAATCGTATTTATTCATGGCCTAGTTGAAGTCTTACGAACTATGAGGGAAACCGAATAAACAAGATACACCGGTCACAGTAAGCGCTCGCCAACATCCGTTTCAGATAAGCCTTATACACATACATGAATATGTGTACACACATATGTGCATACGTGTATGTATATAAACGCGTAAGAGATGGGCTGATATACAAGACCTTCACTCACCTTCATGAGTGAATTGTCATTTGAAGAGTCTCCTCCATCTCATTTAAATTTCATTCCGTTATCTTAATTAAAGCGCACAACACCATTATTAAAAGTAAATATTGCACTTTTATATATACGTCTGGCTTTCACGATTATCAAAAAAATAAATTTATTTATCGTTGAGTCACATGGAATTTGTGATGTAACAGTACAGATATGAAAAAACGCCAGACTTTTGTAACGCATTTAACTAAAGGAACAAAAACAATATCTTTGCGTTATATACATACGCACACACACACACACACACACACACACACATGTATATATATATATATATATATATATATGTATGTATGTATGTATGTATGTATGTATATGTATATACACAGAGTAAGAGAGAAAGAGAGAGAGAGAGAGAGAGAGAGAGAGAGAGAGAGAGAGAGAGAGAGAGGGAAGTAGGATATTTGTGCAATGATTTTTACAATCCACTTTAATGGTGATGTAACAGTTACTTCAAATAGCTTATATTGATATAATTTCTTATAACCGTCCTTTAAACACAATATACTTTGAAGTAATTTTAATAGTTTTTTATTATATAATTATAGACTCTGTTGGTAATAATTATTTGTTTATTAGAATTATTTAATACAATTGTGTTTCAATCAATCACGACAAAATTTTGAAATTTTGAATTTTTCAAAATTCTCATAATGTATACAAATTTTACGTCATTTATCAAAGTTATTAAATAGTTTTCTTTAGCAAATCCTCACGGAGTTACGAAATTTTGTATGATTTTTACACGCTCCTTGCAGCCATTTATAAAGTTAAATATTTATTAATATACAAAAAAAAAAATTCAAACAACGTAGCAAATATTTATAACAATATTATTACCAATAGTTACCAATATTTACAAATTAGCATAAATAACATTAATTATAAGTAATTTGTATACGGTAAAACGATACACTTAAAATTATAATATAAATTTAGCATTGTAAAATTATTAAATGTAATGCTTACATACTGAATTGAAAGTTGTAATGAGAAATTTGTAACATTACGGTCTTAGCAGAGAAAAAAATATTTTCTTGTTAGCTTGTGGCTATGAGGCAGCGGACCATTTAATATGACCATTTTATCATTGTATTTCTCAAGCAAAGCAGTAAAGTATTAACTAAAGTAAATTTCGTTTTATCGTTTTGTCTATGCTGCATTAACGGTGTTGCAAAAGTTATATAACGACAGCGAAAATAGCCTGTCTTATGCTATGCCGAAGCAATCTTCTATTTTAGATTTTTGTATTATTCTCATGTGTATTTGAAGTATGGCTAGAGTAAGACAACAACTCTATTACATGCCTTACATTTTCATTTATGTTTATGTTTCACATATAACACTTGACAGAACAATAAATTTCAATATCACGAGCGCGCATAAATCATGAAAATACCCCGAGTTTTCTTGATTGTACCCCATTAGAAATTCTATTACAAAGGATAAGAACACTTGAAAAGTTAATAACGGCATAGACAATCTATGGGAGAATTCGTCCTTTAAAGTCTGGAATAAAAAAAAAAGGGTTGAATGTCAGGTCGGTTTGGCGTGAGTTAGTCAAGGATACCTGGTGTGCACCAGCCTCCAGAAATAAAATAAACACGCGAGCATTAGTAAGCGGTCAGTGTAGTGCAGAAGCGTCCTGCCATAAAAAGAAATAAAGAGTCTAGTCGAGGTCGGCCCTAACAGCATGAACTCGGCAAACTAAGATGTGGCTTACATTATTTTTTACTGATTTTTGCTTTTGTAGTTTCACCGCACTTTTTTCCTTTTGCGCTCGCGCGCTCGCCACTTATATTTGCTTAGACTACAATTTTTGTAATTAGTTGATGCTTCCAACTGTACGACTTCTTGATATTCAAGTATTTTTGAAAGAAAAAAAAAAATACTCATCCGTTGCCTCATACGCATTTTAACCTTAAATTTATTTAAGTCGCTCGCCGATTAAAATAATTATGTTACATTTTAATTTAATAATTCTACAGGTTTTACGATTCGTATGCCCGATTACTAATTACGCATACAACAAATTACCTATCAATAAAGCTTGTAAGTGAATATGTAATTAATTACTCACCATATAATCACCCATACGTAATATTTACAAGGAAAGATGATAGGTTAGATGAATAAGGAAGATTAAATGTAAAAATAAACGGTTTGCTCCGAGTGTCCGATTACACCGATGCGCGAAAGAAATTTGAAAAACGAACTTGAATTTCCAAAATACATACTCCAAATTATGGTTGCTATTTATGATAAAATAAGATGATAATCGTCGACTGACATCGCCATGCAATTCCTAATAATAATAAGAAGTAATTTTAGAAAATTCATATAAATAAGGGCATTGTTGGGATAATTATTGCGTAAAAGCAGGATCGGAGCGGCATGCGACGGTGAAATCATGGTGCTAGACGTTCATTAAACGGAAATCCGTTTCATCATTCACTATATAAAAAAAAAAAAGGTACATCCTCTTTATTCGCCTCTGAATGCATCATTCTTCGCACTGCATTTAATTGCACTCATAATAACAACGGTAATCTAGATTTTACGCGCAGGCCACAATGCTCCCTCCCTCAAAGTACTTTATTCAACTGGTTCGCCCCACCGCCCCACCTCCCCACCCCTTCACCGCCACCGCTGTCTCTTCGCCCCATCCAATCTCTGTATTTATCGATCTGTTTGTCTATCCAACCATCCATCCGTCCATCCATCCATCCATCCATCCATCCATCAATTTATTCTTCCAATCCATCCATCCATCCGTCCATCCATCCATCCATCCGTCCATCCGTCCATCCCATTCATCTATCAATGTCACACACGCTCTCGTGCACACTCTCTCGTGCGTACATTCTTACGCAAACACCTCACTCTCTCTCCCTTACACGCATGCACGCGCATCCGTCCATCCATCAATTTATTCTTCCAATCCATCCATCCATTCATCTATCAATGTCACACACGCTCTCGTGCACACTCTCTCGTGCGTACATTCTTACGCAAACACCTCACTCTCTCTCCCTTACACGCATGCACGCGCACACACACGCACATTCTCTCTTCATCACTTTGATTCTCTCTCTCTCTCTCTCTCGCTCGCTCTCTCTCTCTCTCTCGTTTACCGAGGATCGCAAGCGAGTCGAACGAAAGGGTCGAAGTGGTGAGAAGGAATACAAGAAAAGGGGGGGAATGTGGATAACTTGAAATAAATGTTGACAGGGTGAAAGTCCGACGGCGATAAAATCAGAATGCGAGATGTGATTTCGAAAAGGATTTTCGACTAGTGTCGAATCGTAAGATAATAGGTCGTAACTGTTAGAGGACTCTGCCGCAAACTATAGAGACTATAATGACGTGTAAAACAGAAGTTTCGTTTCTTCAACTCGAGCACTTTATCTTCGGAAGTATCTCTCATGCGAAATTTCACGGGTATATTTAAGTTCTGGTTTTCTCAATTTCAGCAGACCCTTACTTAGAAAATTTTGCTGCCAAGCTATTACAATAGTCTACTTTTTTTTTTATAAACGCTAACTCTTATTTTCAATAAGACATATTTATCGTCCTGTAAATAAATTAGAAAGCATTCGTTTACATTACTATTGTTATTATTATTATTATTATTATTATTATTATTATTATTATTATTAAGAGATAAATTGATAAACATTGTATAAATATTAAAATTATATTCGTAATGAATAACTACTTATATTTCATAAATTCATATAACGAGTGATATAACGAGATTGGATTATTCCGAAAATGTCTAACGTAATATTAGACATTTTTAGAATATAACACAATCATGAGATTTAAATTGCTTCTCGAATAAGGAAAGTCCTTCGTATACCGGAGTATTTAAGTATGCTCTGTTACAGGCGATATAATTTTAATTAATATTTTAATCCAATTTAGTATTTTCCATGAATAAATTAATTAAGTTTAGCATAATTATTATTTATTTGTATCCGAAGGGATTGATTTAACTAATTGTTTTAGATATTTCATTTGATCAACTTGGACAATTGGATCGAAGTTTATTTAATACCATAATATCATATAATAATAATAATAATAATAATATTCAATTAAAGTGGGTATTATTTTATTTATTTATTAATTTTTTTACAAAGCTCAACAAAGACTAGGGGGCCTAGCAGTATTTATGGATTATGAACTTGAAATATAGTTGGCCTTCCTTTCATTATGCTCAACAATAATAATATGAGCTTTCTCACGTGCTCACTCTTTTTATATTATCTATTTAAAAGTTGCTATTCTTAAAAATATCTTAAAAAATAAATAGTTATAAGCACCTGTTTTGAGAGATGCAGTTCAACCTTACGAAAAAGTTAATTTACTATTTGACTGGTTAGTTATAGTTTCGCCAGAATAAGCTACTGCCACTTTTAAAATTTTCTAGGTTTTAGGGTCAAATAATTTTCGCACGCGAAACGAGTAATTCCCTATTCGAAATTCAAAAAACTTTTAATGAAAATTTCAATAGGTGGCTAATTTTTTTTCGTATTCTACGTTTAATTAAAATATCTACTGCATTAATTCTATCAATATTTATGTGAAAAAAAAAAAAAAAAAAAATTAAAAAAACCAACAACAACAACAAACAAAAAACAAAAAACATGAAGAAAGGTAATGTTGCAGAATATCTTTTTATTACTATCTTAATTAAAACTTTAATATTCTTATTCTATAATATAGTATAGTATAGTAGAGATTAATAGTTGATATCAATGTTTCGTATTGGCCTAAATTCAATAAGAAAATATCATTTTGGTTGCTTGGGCGATTCCAAATGTACATTTAGATTGTATCTAAAGTAATCTAATACTGCTATCTTTATTGTGAGCTTCATTTTACTCCATAATGAACGAAGGCAAGCAAAGGTCAATAAAATCAATGACTTCTATATTTGCGTTTGAGAATAAAGAAGAATATGCCGGGGAAGCAAACGTGTTATATAAATTATATTAATAAATGGATGTTAAAAAATTTTTCATTTCACTTTTAACTTACATCACAATCCATGTTCCTCTTTTTCTTTTTTTTTTTCTCTTTTTTTTGTTTTTTTGTTTTTGTTTTTGTTTTTTTTTTTTCATTATTAGAAATAGAAAAGTTAAGATGTGATAAAAACACAAATATTGGAGAATGGAACTGCGTTTGAACGTTGTATTCTTATTATGCAGATATAAATTATTAAGAGATGTAACAGTGGAAATATGTAAGTGTCATTAAGTGAAATTATCACAATTTTAGGTATTTCGATTGGGTAAAAATGTCTTCCCTAAATATCCACCTCTCAACGTTAGTTCGTAAGCGTTTTTAAGTAAACGAAAAGAAAAGAAAAATGTCGCCTCTAGTTACTGTAACGTCCATGTATTTCATTTTACTGGGCGTAGCCAACAATATTTAAAAATTTTAAATAGTTTTTCTTTTACGAGTCTTTATTTTAGCTGAATTATATTTTACAGGCACATTTGAATAATTACATCGTATCGAAACAAGGAAAGGCTTTGCTCGATATAAAGACTCTGACACGCGAATTAGGAACATTTGTATTCTTCGGTGCTATAGAAATGATGCATACGGAATATAAGATGTTTTATTTGCATAACTGTAAATACGAAATGTCTAAGTTATGGCCATTTTTTAAGTAGAGATTATCATATCGTTGGATACATTGTGCGCGTGTAAACAATTATTTGCATATAAGTGTAAAATTTCTTCTTCTTCATATTTTTTTTTTTTTTTTTTTTTTTTTTTTTTTTTTTTTATAATTATTGTGAAATTGTAAGAAGTTGTCATATTAAAGTTTGAATGCAACTTGCGAATTAAAATGAGACGTATATTGCCGAAGTAGGATAAATTGACAAATTTTATTTTAGATTGCAATAAACCTTTGGAGCACATCGAAGCATTTCACACTGAGAATTTCCAAAATTGCAATGCAAAAATCATTGGGACGAATGAAAAGAAAAACAATTGACAAAATGTAAAATAGCCGTTTAAAAACCAAGCGAATAGTAATTTTGCCCATATAATTTATATCGATAATTTGTGTAGTAAAAAAAAAAAAAAAAAAAAAAAAAAAAAAAAAAAATAAGAAAATAAAAAGATGAACTTTTATTAAACATTATCGCTATATTATAAACTTCCTTTTTAAATAAACGTTCTATGATAAATATAAATATAAATATAAATATCGTTGTTTAAGATAAATTAGAGCAAGGAAGTCGAGTTATGAGCGAGATTTGACCTTTCTTTTGTAAATACTATTTCTAATGTGGAAGATGAGCAAATGATAAAAGGGCTGTAGGTTGTATCAAGAAGGTCTGGTATTGCTCGCATCAAGTGTTTTAGCGCTCATTTAAACATTCATTTATTGCGAATAACTCGATTTCTTTAGAGTTACGCAATGACGATAAAGTACGTGATTTATTGGTAATATTAAGTAAAAGAATCCGAGTGTAATTAAGCTTTATTCACTCAATGCATACCATTGAAATCGTAAAATTTTGCAAGCACTTAAAATAATGTCGACCTCTCGATTATCCCACAAGATAGCTATGCCCTAATTTAAGATGCGATCATGCAGCTGGTACACGGACGAGAAGATACTAACACGATAAGCGTCACAATCGCAATCGTAACGTCATAACGACGACGAGAGAGAGAGAGAGAGAGAGAGAGAGTGAGAGTGGGAGTGTGAGAGAGAGTGAGAGAGAGAGAGAGTGAGAGAGTGAGAGATGGGACTTATGCAAAGTGGCGGCGTTCTTTGATTGGACTACCGCTCGGTAAGTAGCTTAATTTGCCTTGAACGGAGCGAGCAAATATTCGGCCTTTAAGTTGCTCGAGACCGGGTCAAAGGTCCGAGGGAAGCCCTTCCCAAAAAAGCGACTATCTCTCTCGAGGACAGCCAGTCCGTGCGATATAAAAGCCAAAGCCTCGAACCCCCCCCCCCCCCCCCCCCCCCCCCCCCCCCCCCCCCCGACATATTATCGGGAGCGTGACTGTCCACGTGTTTTGCAGGTGTTGTCGTGTGCGAGGCCGGTTGCGTTCTACAGAGACTCGACGAGCATCTGAGCGGCCGCGACCTGATGATGCCCATCGACCTTGGGGCCAAGGGCAGCTGCCTGATTGGCGGCAACGTGTCCACCAACGCGGGCGGCCTGCGTCTACTGCGCTACGGTAATCTGCACGGGAATGTCCTGGGACTCGAAGCCGTAAGCATTCAGTAGCGCCAGACCCCATGATCGATCGTTTTACGCTGACTTTTCCCTTTGTACGTATCCGTTACGCAATAATTCGCGCGTCTCGCTTTCTTTCCAGTTGCTCGTCGTCGCCTGCACTGCGGGAGAAATGAGTGGGACAAGGAACGGAAGGAAGGCTAGGAGAGGGGGGAGCCATTGGACGCTGGTGGGGAAGGGACGGGAAGGGACGGGAAGGGACGGGAAGGGATGGGACGGGATGGGACGGGATGGGACGGGATTATTAGTTATTGGCGCTTATTTCGGATTCGGTTATTATCGTTGCATTTATTCTCGTTATTACATTCAATGTGGCGGTTGAGCTCCACGTGATATTATTAAGGGAAGGATCAAAGTTCCGCTTAATTGAAATTGAGTTGAAAATAGCCGGAACGCGTAGATCTAATTACCCTTTGTCCTAATTACGTTGTTGTCTTCTGAGCACGATTTTCAAGATCAAATTTGTATCGCAATACTCTTATCTTACATTTAACTTATGAATTATTCCGCAATACACAAATTTTTGCGTCTTTTCGAACTTTTTGCCCCATGAATTGTACAATAAATAAATAATATTTGTAAGTTTTCTCTTTATATATATATATATATATATATATATATATATATATATATATGTATTTTCAAAAACGCGTTATAGTGATTTGAATAGTTAAACGCATTCAGATTGAGCGAGTATTTATGTGTTAAATAGCATATTTATTAGGAAAGAAAACTTTTTTATGGAATGTATTATTTACTATAAATAATATTATAAGCGGTTTCTTTAATCAACGTTATACAATGTATCTATTGTTAAAAATTCTGCGGATGCAAAATACTCACAGACACAATGCAGTTCAGAATGTGGTAATCTATTCAAATTAAATGTAAAATGGGGGAACTTTCTTTTGAAGGGATGTAAGGCTTTGAGTCAGGTGCATTTTTTTTTTTTTTTTTTTTTTTTTTTTTTTTTTTTTTGGATAACCAGTAGCTTGAAATACTGGTTTAAGATTGCAAAAAATATCAAATTGTCGAAATCAGTGATTGTAACATGGCGCGTAGATAAGAAACAATTCCTTTTAAAATTCCCGATATCCAGGTAATGTTATAAAAGGCTTTTAAAACGAACGAGCCGATAGTTAAGATAACGTTCGTGTAAAGAAAGAAGCCGATGTATCCACCGAGGGAGCCATCGATTACCTTCCCTCCTCCGTCCCTCCGCCCCATCCCTTCCCACCTTTCCCCCATTCGCCATTCTACATTTCGTCCCACTAGCGATACCCAATTCCCTAAAATTCGACGCCTTCGTTTCACTTCCCAATGCAATTCCGTTCAACGCCGAAGATCTAACGATCGACGGCGTTCAAGACCGGCTGCTCATGACGTCGTCATTGCGTGTACAGGTGATGGCGAACGGTAACGTAATCGACTGTCTCAACACCCTGAAGAAGGACAACACCGGATACCATTTAAAGCATTTGTTCATCGGATCCGAAGGTACACTCGGTGTCGTGACGAAGTTGGCCATCCAGTGTCCCAACTTGCCCAAGGCCATCAACGTCGCTTTTTTAGGTAAGGATGCGCATTGTGCGACTCGCGGCCCATCCCCGATGTCGCTTCCTTCCCCTCGCCGCCTCGTCGCTGTACCCACCCTCCTACGCTTGCCACTACCACGCCCAGGGTACGCGGCGACTCGATCGGTCCGGACGCTTCCAGACCTCGTATTTAGCTTGTCTGACTCTTAGGTTGCGCGCCCTCGGGGAAATGGCTTTCTTTGTTGTCACAGGCAAGGAGGTATCCGATTATTTGAAGGGGCGAGTGGGATTAGCCGAGGCGGTTTGTTTTTCCGAGCGGATTATTTCGGATGTTATTGGAATGCTGTGTAATACGCCGCTTGTCACTCTCCTCTTACACGTATCTTTAACACAATAACGTATGAAAATGTGTCCGGTTGCTCTGTTTTTTTTTTGCTTTTATATCGAGACACTTTTTTCGTTTAGTTTTTGTTATTTCTTTTTCTCTTCATTTTCGCATAATCATTCGCACTGTAAATTACTCGGAATTTATTAAGATCGTCGTGAGAAGTCGACTATATTCAACTGATAAGCATTATTATGAGCGATTTCGCGAACATTGCTTCATTGCCATATATCTTTCAATTATTTGAGCATCCTTTTGATGTAACGCATCCTTGGGACGAATAAGCTAAATAACGCGAATAAAATATCAGCATTACATAGCTATTTTTAAAGGGCCATAAAGAACCCCGAGTTATCGCTTAAATCATGACTTCTAAGCTTTCCTTCGTTGTTATAGGTTTGAAACACTTACATTTGAAATATTGCATTTGCATTTTTATCCTCTTTATGTAAATTAGTTACTTTAAATTTGAGAATCGTACATTCCAATTGATCTTGCACATTTTGAATATAACGCATAGGGCATTTACTCTTACACGTGCGTCCGATGAACCTTAAAGGTGCGCTAAATTTATACATAATTTAGATTGCTTCGGATTGGGAGAAAAGAGAAATAAGAAGAAGAATAAAGGCCATGGCCGATGTACTCGATGTATTAAGATAAAAAATTAAGAGCGCCTTTCACACTCTACGTGCCGACTTAACTTTATAGGAACTTAGAAAGGCTAGAAACTTTGAGAAAACTCCGCCGTAAAGTACGCTAAGTGCAGTTGGTGATTGTTATCTAAGCTGCTTGGTAAACTGAGAATCATATGGCACACATACAGGCGAGCACTGCACGGAACGTTGGGTGTACTACTCTACCACCCTATCGTTATCTTACCTAGTGCTTGTTCAAGATAATCACCCTGAATCCACTCTTCTTCTTTACCGCCCAGTCCCAACTAAGTTTATCAGCAACCGACGGGATCTCCCTCGCTATGCGGCGGCCTTATACGGGCATAAAAATAATGCATGCCCGTGCCATTTTGTTGCGCGCCTCGGAAACACTTCTCCGACAACAATTTCCCTTTACAATAGGACTGAGGGATTTCAAGAAAGTGCTGGAGACGTATCGTCTGGCCAAGGGCGAACTCAGCGAGATCCTTTCGTCCTGCGAAATGATGGACCGTGTATCGATGGATATTGCTGAGCAAGCCCTAGGACTGAAGAATCCGCTCGCCAGTGAAAATGATTTCTATATGCTGATCGAGACGTCTGGCAGTCAGTTGTCGCACGACGAGGAGAAAGTTAAGGCCTTCTTGGAAAAGGTCATGGAGCTGGGTATCGTCGACGATGGTACTGTTACATCCGATCCCAGTAAAATTCAGGTTGGTGCACTGTGACGAGCATTTACCTGACCTCCAAATTGGACTATTAGAGTATATAAATTTTCACGATGATTTGGATACTCGAATCCTTCAACTATCCATAGTTTATAAAACGAAGGGTGGCTATTTTATTTAGAATTTCATTAGAAAGTTTGATTCAATTATTATTATCGTTATCCGTAAATGTATTATGTTCGCCAAGCATTCAAATGGCATTATTATTATTTATTCAATGGCAATCATTTAACATTCGTAAGAGTAATTTCAAGCACGTATCTCTCTCTCTCTCTCTCTCGCTCTCTCTCTCTATATATATATATATATATTAGTTACAAAATCGAGTAGTGTGATCATTTAAATTTTACATTCAATTTTATGATATATATATTTACTATATTATGCTATTATATTAATAGTTTATTAACTTTTGTATACCATGATCAATTTATTTGAAAGATATTTAGTTAGCTTTTAATTTTTTATTTAATAATATGGAATATATCAATTAAGGAAATAATAAGATAAATGTATATAATAAATAATATGCAATTGGTGAACAGTATGTTTATAATATAATTATAGTAAAAATTATATTATTATATATAAAGCCCTTTCGTATTTAATTAATTTAAAGAAGACTTTCACAACGTTATGCATCATCATCGATATATCAACATTTTAAATAAAAATATCATTAAAAATTGTGCTTTTTAAGAGAAACATTTACGGATTATCTCATAATATCTAGAGAAGTTATTTATTTAATTTAACACATATATCATTATATATTATTTTCTTCTTATTAATAGTTTATTACTTTAAATTGCAATAAATTAAAACAAGATCTTATGATTAAATTTCAGTATTGCGTATTAAGTTTATGCAGTTCAACATATATAATTATATTATAATAAATAACTATATGTGTGTATATATATATATATATGTGATATATATATATATATATATATATATATATATCACATTAATTTCTTATAGTAGTATATAATAGGAATATTTCAATTTTTATAATTAATAGATAATTTATTAACTTATAGTCGACTACAATATTATATGCAATTATTTTAACTTAATAGGCTGAAATTTAGAATTTTTATTAATAAACATTTAAATTTTCTATAAAATAAATTCTTGCTCTAAGAAATTTACAGACTTAAAATAGTTTATCAGAATAATTGCATATTAACATATTGATTAAAATAAAATTTCTATACTTGTCAATGTTATTTTTCGATTATCGAACAATTATTGAAATAAAATTATGATTATTTAATCAAATAAATACTAAATATTACAATCAACTAAGTGCTGCCTTTATGTTAATACGTGATTTAAAATATTTAAAATGATATTCAATAATGACGAGTTCACAAATTTGGAAAATATCGAAGTCTCTACTGCATGTATACGTTAAACTATAATTTAATGGCAATTTTTTAAATGAAATTTAATGTAGTAATAAATTTCTTGAAAATTTAAATATAATGATATTCCATAAAACGCAATACAAGATATTGTTATTGGTGCTTAGTTTTAGAAATAAGTTTGGAGAATATTCAACCATAGGTTTACGGCAAATAACTTGGTAATTGTAGGAAGTGATTTAATAAGTATTTTGTAGTATACTTAATATTTTATCATAGCACTTAATTTTACTTATCAATAAAGTTTAATGTGTCTTTATATTGAATAATATTTTACATACAATTGCCAATTAATAAATAATATTAGAAAAATTAAAAGAGATTATATATTAGATTATAAATACATATATATTTGATATCCTCTCTATTATTAAATAAAAAATTAAAAGCTAACTAAATATTAGCTAACTAAGTAAAAACACGTTTCTTTTCTATATTAAGGCTTTAGTAGTATAATTCAAATGCAAAAACAAGATTTTAATAATTTAATGAATTATACATAGTAGTACATTGATAGAGACTCACTTTAATAAATAATACATCACTTGAGATCTAATGATATTACTCATATAGAATATCTACTCAAAATAATGACACCGAAAAAGAATTTTAAAATATGAATGAAAAATTTTTTGAAAGCAATAAAAGCCCATTAAATCTTGAAATATGCAGTACTGGGGATTCTCCGAATACAAAATTAATTATGCTTTTATATAGACAATAGAATAGCCTATAGAAATATAAATGTTTATTAAATTAATCATGGTCTTTTATGTATATAAAAATTAATTATATTATCACCATTGTAATTTATAGATTGTGAATAAATTCATAAAAATGACGAATACATGTTTGTTATAATTCGCTTCTATGCTTAGAAAATATGGGAGGTAAGAGAAAGATTAGCCGAGGCGATGTCCAAAGAGCATTATCTTTTTAAATATGACATTTCATTACCGCTGTCGGAATTCTATTCGATTGTTGCGGTACTTAAGGATCATTTAAAGGACTGCGACGTTCGGTATATTACTGGATTCGGACATTTAGGTAAGTTTTATCGAATCTTTTTGTTTGCTTATATTATATAAGACGAAAAAAAAATCATAAACACACGGTTACGATAGATTTTTGTAATATTTGTTATATGTTTTTTTTTTTTTTTTTTTTTTTTTTTTTTTTTTTATTGTCTTTTCTGTATTGAGTTTACAGAATATTATGTAAATAAATATAGAAAGTCATTTCATTGTTAAATATCAAATTATATTGGTTCTAGACTCTGATAGAGAAAAATAAATGCCTTTGATTATTTAGAAATATATTCAAACGATTGTGAGATATAACTTAGTCCAATATTTTGTGTTAAATGATTTAGTTGAGTTTAATGGTTGATTTAAATAATTTAATGTAAAGATTAAACCTGTCTTATTAAAAAAAAAATAAAAATATATATATATATATATATATATATATATATGTATATATTTAAATGAAAACAATGATTACAAAGTTAAGACTATTACTTTTTAGAGAATTTTGATAAGTATAAGAAAAGTAATTATTATTCATTAGAGCATTGGGATAAAGCTTTTTCTTCTTCTTTTTTTTAATTGTGGTTATAGTTTATAATGAGCCATGTAACTTCTAGTTTCGTGAAATATTTTAATATTACAGTACTCATAAATTATTGAATATTCAAGTTCTTTAAAAAAATATTATCCTACATAATTCATTGATAAATAATTAAAATTATATATTAAGTTCGTATTTATTTATAAAATGGTTTGTAATCTGTACTTATATTCGAATTTGAAATACATGAATTTCATTTCTATATTATGAAATTTACATTTCATATAATTTTTTCGATACAATATATTATTTAAATATCGTATTGGGCAATTTCTAACGAGTTTCTGTAATAAATTATGGATTAATTTCTTTTAGCTGTTATATTAACTTGTTTTGATTTGGTAAATAATGTAATAAATTTCCTTTTCAATATTGCATCTCAGTTGCTTTAAAATTTTTATAATTATATTTTAATTTTTCAACCACTAATTTCATTTACATACTCTTGCGTACGAATAAATCGGATTTTCATAATATCGTTTAGGAATAAAGTTAGTTTGATTAATATAAAACTTCAGCTAATGTAGTAACAATGATTTTAGTAAAAATAAAAATATTTTTTATTAAAAAATATTCAAATTAATTATTAGTTGCATTATTTAAGTTATTTATTTTTACTTTTATTATTATTATTATATATATATATTTTTTTATTTCAAATAAAAAAATACGTGCTGCTTTATTTGTTAATTTGATTTTCGAAAAGTCATACTATTTCATTTGAAATTTCTTTGTCTTAAAAAATGAATTTATATATAAAATTTACGGGGCGTTGATTTATTGGCATAGATTTATTGAATTGTGTAAGCAACAATCAACGAAGATGATTTGTTTGATGGGAATGAAATTTGAGCAGGCAAGCAAATACTTTATAGCGTATCCTTAATGCTACATCCTTTGAATTTATATTGGAGATCGCATAGCAAACTTGGAAGCCTCTTGATTCAAATAAAACAAAAAAAAAAAACAAAAAAACAAAAAACAAAACAAAAAACAAAACAAAAAAAAAACAAAAAAAACGTATGATGAAAGAAGATGGCGACATTTATTAATTGTTTTTCCTGCCTTTGATACTATTTAAAATGAGTAATGACGTTAAGTAAGCATACAGGTAGAGTCATAAACTTATAGGTGATATTCGTTTTAATCATTAAATAAAAAAAAATGTTCATGTGTCACAGATCATGCACAACATTTTAATCAATCTTGTAATGTATAGTCGTTTCCTTTGGTTCGGTCACACGAATCATGCCTTTATCTATTTAATATTTATGTATTTTTAGTTTGCGAGCATTCGTATTTAACAAAGGCACAAAGCTATAGGTCAATACCATGGATTAACGAAATATATATACTAGTTTATCCTAAAATTCCATAAGCCTACGTATCTGATCTATTTTCATATAGTATAATGCACCTAACCTTCTCGATATAATAGAATAGTCCTTTTAATGTATTTGAAATAAAATTTTCACTCCTTACTTGTATTTCTAACATGAAAATTCTCACCTCCCAATCATTAGATATTACAATAGCTCTATGTGTCAAATTAGATAAAAGAAGCGAAGATTATGATGATAAGGATGGTAGTGGAATAATTTAATTTGATAGTTACTTCAGAGGACGAGCCCTATATATATTTTATTGAAAAGTCGTATTCTGTATAGCCATAAACATTATTTAAGATTTGATTTGAGCATCATTTGTGGCTTCGGAATATCAAATAGAAAATTTTTTACACGCATATGAAATTTACATGCTTAAAGGATGTGCTCGAAGTCTTTGAAGTGACGGAGAATATGTGTGAGGCAGGACTACGAGCTCTTTATTTATGCATTTATTTAATATTTTTTCCATATCATCTTCTTCTTCTTTCTTCTATCTATCTATCTATCTATCTATCTATCTATTATTATTATTATTATTATTATTATTGTTGTTGTTGTTGTTGTTGTTGTTGTTGTTGTTTTTGTTTTTGTTTTTGTTGTTTTTGTTGTCTATGTTATTATAGTTATTGTTATTATGAAGTAATTTGTGATTACAGCTTTATCGTTAGTCCTAAAATATCAATAATTAAACGAATTTTCATGGATATTTTAATTTATGGATTTTAACAATTATAGGGATGGAAAATGGTAATTTTATGTTTTGATAATATATTTCTAAACGCAAAGGCAATTTATGATGTATGAAATTTTAGTCTATTTTAAACAATGCTACTAAAATTAGATGTACATTTATTGTAAAGATATAAATGTTAAGATAAATAAAGAAATAAATAAATATACAAATATAGACGTTAGATTGAGTATTTGACATTGTTATAATGCAAATTGTAACATCGATCTTTATATTTATATATATATATATATATATATATATATAACGAAAACATTTTTGAATGCATTTTCATATAATATAAAAATTGCAATAGCAAGTAAATGATCCATTAACAAAGTATTAATGTAGAATATGATCTGTACGATCTTCTAATTTCAAGATCGTCACTTACAAGTATCAGCTTCCTTAGCCTCACTATTACGTTGATCGCTGTTAAGTAACAATTATAAGATCAGTTGTCGAGTATCCGCCGGGGCCAGCCATTAAAGCCGAGAAAATTAGGGTTCGCCAGCAAATCGCAATCTCTTTTCTTTGTTTCACCGCGATGCAGGCGACGGGAACCTTCACGTGCAGGTCTTGACTTCCGATTACGACGCCAAGGTAAACGCGCGGCTCGAGCCGTTCATCTTCGAGTACACATCCAAGATGCGAGGCAGCATCAGCGCGGAGCACGGGATCGGCTTCAAGAAGGCCAAGTTCCTGCGCTACAGTAAGGACGAGTCGGCGATCGAGTTGATGCGCAATATGAAAAGGGCTATGGATCCCAACGGCATACTCAATCCTTACAAAGTTTTTACTTGAGCGTGCGGGCTGCCCCCGCCCGTTTCTGCACTCTCTTTTTATTTTTCGTATCCCCATTGCGGGAAAACGCTTGGACGTAACGGCGGGGAAATGGCCTTATATTTTTCCTGTTTTTTTTTTGTTTTTTTTTTGTTTTTTGTTTTGTTTTTCTTTTGACCGTGTATTATTTTGCCAGGCAAGTGCGGGAGTGTGGGGTGGATGAAGAATTACTCTTTCAGGCATCATTTTTCTAAGTAAATTTTTACATTCCATAAAATGTTGAGTTGTGACATAGTTACATCGAGAGCTGTGATATTTACGCCTTGTGCTATTAAACTTTATATTTATCAATTTTGGTTTTCCTTGGTATTTTACATATTAAGTTAGCCAGATTATTATTATTGCTAACAATTTGTTCGATTTTACACTGAAATCTATTTTATACTTTTCTTTATAATGTAGAGTTGTTTTTTTTTTAGCAGAATGCTTGTTATTCTTTAATGTTCTTAATAATTAATCGAGAATATAATTCGACATATTACTATGGCTTACAGCTAATGTTTCTTGTGAGCAATTAAAATACAATTGATTAAAGAGGCTAAAGAATTTTACTCAACGTTGCTAAGCACATAATTTACATTAACTATAAAATGTCGTTTATCATAGATTATTTTTATTGTTATTTCTTATTTTTATTAAATATTTTATCTGTTTCACTTAGTATTTGTAACAATATTTATCAAAATATATTTTATAATATAATAAATAATTCATAAATGCAAATTAACAATATGTTTTTGACTTTTTCTTACCTTAATTTTATAATCATGATAATTGTAGTCTAATCAATTTCAATTGTAAATGCAATTAATGAAGATCTTGCTCTTATTATATTACTCGGATAGGATTTATTTCAAATTATTGTTGATAATTTTACAATTACAGTGAAAAATATCTTCTTCTTGATTTAAAAACAAAATAGTTACCGAACTTCCTATATTAATATTTTATTTATTATATTTATATAATTGTTAAGACTACAATATTAATGTTATAAATAAACCATGTCGATAAACAGAGAAAATGACAAATCTATCACAAAGTCCAGTAAATATAAAAATTATTTATTTAATATTAAGTACACAAACGAATATTCCCTTGAAAGTATATTCAATCTGAAAATCCAAGAATTATTTACATATTCTTATTATTACGTAAATAAAGAAATATATATATATATATATATATATATATATATATATATATACATACATACACAGATGCGCACACACGCGCATACATACATGCGTAAATGCAAGTGTGTATTGTATTTATATACAAGATACCTTTAGTCTCAAAATATAGACATACCTAGAAGGCCACGTGTATGTGCATGAATATTTATCAATGCAAATGTGCTTATAATATACACACGCTTACGCGTTTTACGACCACATGTATAAAATCGATGGTGAAATAAAATTGTAGAGATGTGGAGAGAGTGAGTGAGAGAGAGAGAGAGAGAGAGAGAGAGAGAGAGAGAGAGAGTGGAAATTTGAAGAACAGATGAAGTCGGCTTTAGAAACATTCAATGTTATTTATTTTAAATTATTTAATGGCTTTACTCTTGTTTTAAAGATTTTACGTGTGTTCGCGGTCGTAGCTTTAGATATGTGTTTAACAAGGAAAAAAAAATTATATATATAAATATTTAACTTCAGCTATATGTTTAAATTTGAAATGTTAAATAGGTGTTGTAATTAAAGAGAAATTTTTAACGTAAAATATATGTTTGACAAAGACGAATGAGAAATGAAAGAAGATGAAAAAGGAAAAAAAGTTCGTAACCACCTGTATTTAAACGGTTGCTTTACTTACTACAATCAACTCAAGTAAATTCAAATTCACTTCCATATTCAAATTAGGGGTGCTGCATCACATCCATCTCGCTTCGTCCACTTCCATTGTGCTTCTCCTTTCTCTCAATATACTTATTGCTACTATCTCTCTGTACTTCCCGTAATTACTAGACATCTGAACTGTAGCGACAGATGAGCCCACATTGTTTTTGCTTACATCTAAAGATTCGTATAATTCTTGAAGTAATGGGGTCGATTGGTTGTAGTAGTGAATACGGGCTGACTGAAGTATCGCTGTTGGTGGACTTACTCGCTCTAGCGTCTGTTAGTGTAAATTTTTTGTATACGTAAAATAACGTAATCGCTGTATCTATGTATATTGTGTTGATTTCTAAAAAAAGTGAAAGAGTCAGTCGTCATACCTGTAATATGGATAAATATTATCTCTCATAGAAAGCGAAATGATATGATTATTACTTTGTTGGGAATTATGAAATTAATATATTAACGCAGCAGCATAAATCTATGGAATAAATAATATTTTACTTAGAAATATTTTAGATCTTTATTTGATTTGGGTTTTTGTGTCATACTAAATGAAATGTTTATCTATAGTTTTAATTTTTGCAGTCAGATATTGTTGAAATATAGAAAGTTAAAATAATATTTCTACGTAATAAATACGATCGAATAGACGAAATATATTTAGAGCAAAACAACTAATATTTACTCTCTATTTATTATTTACATTATAATCAATATTATTGTATTTAATACATTTGCACACGCATTAATATATCATTGTGTACTTATAAAAGGTTTAGCTGCTCCTTAATCTATAATGTAGTTTGTCATTTATGCAAAAAGAAAAAACCTTAACAAGCTTGCTCCATTGTGTATAAGTATGTGTAAAAAATGCTGAAATTTTATAAATAATATTTATAAAAATTATATTTTATAATGTATAGATGTATACATAAAATATCTTTTTGCTATACAATAATTTATTGTTAAAATATGTAAATATCGATTTTTTTGCATATAAAATATATGTATTTATCAAAAATATAAGTTAATTATAAATATTATCGGTTTCCATTTTATATTTAAATGTTATATATTCCCATGTTTTTGATGAAAATGAAATTATATCAATAAATAAAAAAGATTATTTAAATTTGAAAACTTCAAGAATTTTATATTTATATAATTTATATGTATTTGATAAATTACACTTATGTCTTTATCAAATATTTAAACATTTCAGTTTCTTTAAATATTATTTTTATATTTAATATATATATATATATATATATTCTATATATATATATATATATATATAGAAGAAAGTTGTTGTATATTTGCATATTAATATATCATATATTGAAAATACATTAAGCAAGGATCGTAAATAATTAACAAGTATGAAAAATATGTAATTAAAATGTTAAACAAAACAAAAATTAGTAAATACAATACTATAATATCTTTACTCAATTGGATATTCATGAATTATTAATAAAGGAAATTCCTTTTATTCATTAATAAATATTTATTATTTATAATAAGTACAATAAAAATAAAACCGGAATTCACTTAAAGCAGTTTTATTTTACCAAGAAAACCTTTATACATTAATTTAAACAAAATGCCTCTAAATATTGAGATATATCGTTATGTTATATTTAGATAAATATTTCTTTTCTATCTGACTTGCACTTAAGCTATTTATAAATTGATGGGTTTGAAGAGATGAAAATTACTTTTGAATATTTAATCGGTAAATAAGTGCAGTGCTCAAAGTAAAAAAACAGTTTTCACATTCTTTCAAAAAATATAATAATATTTATGTCAGAGGAAAAAAGTTATTTATACAATTACATCTTGGATAGTTCTTTGGTGTTCTATTACTTTTAGGAGAAATATATTTTTTTATTACTAAAATATATGCTATTTAAAAGAATATTTCCTATACATTTTTAAAAATAACTTATAAATAACAATTTACAAAAAATTATAAAAATTTTGGAATATTTTATTTTCATAAAGAAATTCAATACCCGCATTTTACGTTACTTAAATTCCTTTAAATTTGCTTAATTAGGCCACAACCTACAATGCTTAATAAACTGACAGTCATCTACATTTATGCATACAATAATTTGATTGGAGTGAGCCTCGTTTTAGGCACGAGTCACTGATTAATCAGCTCGCCCTAATCGTAATATTTAATATCTCGCGGCGTTCGTCCCGACTTTTACCACTTTTCGAAATTATTCACGCCGTGTACTATCCCTCCCGCTCCACCCTCCTTCTCACGCCCCCGCGTCTGTGCCTTTCCCATCCGTTTTCACTCTCTCTCTCTCTCTCTCTCTCTCTCTGTTCCTCGTGCCGATCGATATACGTATAAAGCCAGGAGTGCCGAACGAGCGAAGGCCACCCAAGAAGGTTTGCGAAAATAACCCGCCGTGTGCGTTGCACCACGCTGCTGGAAAATGGAAAATCATTACGGCATAGACGCGACTCTGCCACGACCGACTGATTAATCGAGGAGACCCGTTCTATTTTTAGCACGCGCCTTTCATTAAAAGTTCATTGTGCCATTGTCTGATGCAACGACGACGAGGATGACGACCAAGACGACGACGACGACGACGATGACGACGAGAACAACGAGATCAACGAGAACGAATTTTGCCTGCTGCTCCGATCTCGGCCGACCGACTGGTGGCGACATCGCCCGGACACTTCTTCAATTCTCTTCTTACTAAGCGGTCGATAAGCAAGAATGCGTTTCTATAGCGAGCGACCCTAGTGCTTTTGACAGATTAAGGCTCTTTTCAGTTTTGAGACGCTTATTTACAAATTCCTTTGACGGCTCGACCACTCGAACTATTCTAATAAACACAGCCTATTTATTACTTTTACATGGAATTTGTCTTTGGTATTATTATCGTGATTTTCCGCGAATTAAGTTGTTTCCGTGGATGCTGCCCAAATGTTTCGTCTAATGCGCCCCATCAATTTGTTTATGCTCGAAATATCTCTTTTTCATATTATTCTCATTATCGACCAGTTCAATATTCCATTTATGTCTCGTGTATTCGTCGATGGATTCATGGCTTATCGATTTTACCGTAAAATGAGAAAAATATACTTTACAGCTGAACTGTCGTTTGTAATATGATAATACAATGTCTTTGTTTATTTTACAAACTTTCTTTCCTTAAATATACATTTAAATTTGCTC